AAAGAACTCCCCAGTGGGCTTCGGCCCGTCCCGCCGGCCACCCGCAAGTTTCCGAAAATCCATCTGTCAATGCCTTTGTTGCCCCAACTTGGCCCAAGATGGCCTCCAAGACGGCCAAGATGGCCCAAGATGGCCTCCAAGATGCTTCCAAGACGGCCAAGATGGCCTCCAAGACGGGTAAGATGGCTCCAAGATGCACCGAAGACGGCCCAAGATGGCCTCAAGATGGTCTAAGACGGCCCAAGAGGCCTGCAAAAGGCCTCCAAGACGGCCCAAGAGCCCTCCAAGACGCCCTCCAGGAAGGCCCGAATAGGTTAAAATCATTGATTTTCCTCAGGTTTTGAAGGATTTTGGCATGTTCTTCTTTTCAGCTCTCCGACGGCCCCAGACGGCCCATGAGGTCCCCAACATCGCCCCAACAGCACCCAAGAGGCCTCCAAGATGGCCCCATGACGGCCCAAGAGGCCCCCAAGAAGGCCCCAAGAGGGCCTCAAGACGGCCCAAGAGGCCTCCAAGACGCCCAAGATGGCCTCCAAGACGGCCAAGATGGCCCAAGATGGCCTCCAAGATGCCTCCAAGACGGCCAAGATGGCCTCCAAGACGGGTAAGATGGCTCCAAGATGCACCCAAGACGGTCCAAGATGGCCTCAAGATGGTCTAAGACGGCCCAAAAGGCCGGCAAAAGGCCTCCAAGACGGCCCAAGAGCCCTCCAAGACGCCCTCCAGGAAGGCCCGAATAGGTTAAAATCATTGATTTTCCTAAGGTTTTTGAAGGATTTTGACATGTTCTTCTTTTCAGCTCCAAAGCAAGGCATCCATAGAGGCCCCCAAGATGCTTCCAAGACCGCACATGTGGCCCAATATAAACCCAGAGTAGCCAAAAAGGCACTCAAGAGACCTCCTCCTCCAGTCCCCCCCTTCCTATCTCTCCTCTCCTCCCCGTCCTCCCCCACGTGTTCCCCGGAGGCTGTAAAGACCGACTCGGGGAACATATGGCCCAATAACTTGGCAGACCTCTGGCCACAGCAGTCGGCCGCATCGGCGCTTCCGAAAGGGCAGGGGGCGGCGGTGATTCGCCGTAGGCGTCTTCGATAGCTGGCATACTTTTTAGTCAGCGGCCGCGGGCGAGCGCGCCGGCGGCGGGTCCAGTCAAAGCGGGGCACGCAGCGACGAATTAAACTAAAGCAGCGGAGGGCGGCCACACCTAGAGCGGCTAACCGGGGCCTCGCGCAGCAGCTCAGCGGCGGACCGGCGAATGGAGGGGGCAGCTGAAACTGAGTCGTACTGCCAGCGTGCAGGTATGCATGGCGTCGGAAGCACCAGGAAGTCGGGACAAACGACGACGGATTAAAGCAGGGGCCCGGCGGGTGGAGGGACAGCTGGAGCGGAGTCGAACTGCCAGCGTGCAAAAATGCAAAGCGTCGGACACCAAGGAGTCGGGACACACGACGACCCGGGCCAGAAGCCGAGATTAATGCAAGGACGCAACCCCGGACAACTGCGTGAGTACCAGGGTGGCCCGAAGGACCGTCGGCCAACGAATTAAAGCCAGGAGGCGAAGGCGTTGTCAGGCTGCAGATCCCAGGGTGGCCGTAGCCGCACAGTCCCGAGGCAGCAGAGCGCACGAGTGCGGGAAGCAGCGGAGCTGCGACACAGCGAAAATGGCGCGGGTCACCACGAACCAGTGCGTGAAATGGCGCCAGGTTGACCCACACCGGGTCCTGAACCGGGCCACGAGCTCGAAGCCAGCACACGAAGTGGCGACGGGCGGGCGAGAGCACCACGGGAAAGACCCAAGTCTGAGCCCAGGGAACAGGTCACACGTGGTGGGGGCGCATGGGTCAGAGCGGTGCCGAAGACGGCCGCCGGCCCCGTATAGGGAAGGAAGAACCGCGATTTGAGCGGCAAAGCGAAGGCCGGTGGATAGCTGGCATACTTTTTGGTTCGCGGCTCCAAGGCGGATGACAGGGAGCAAACACAGCGTCCGGGGCGCGTGACGATGTAAATTGGCCACCGAGGCGAATGCACGTGCAAGGGACAAAATGACCATCATTAAAACGCAAGCTGCGTTGGCAGGAAACCGATCCACATAGCTGGCATACGCGCCGCGTCACGACTTTCGATGCTGTGCACCTCTTCGACAAACTCCCAGGGGAGCGGCCGGTGATGCACCGCCGGCGTCCTCGATCACAGGAAACCGCGCGGACCTCCGCAAGCTTGCATGCCCGTGCCGAATTTTCTGTTTCGGCTCCCCGCCCCCCTCCCCCTTCGGGAGCTCAGGGGCGCCCCTGGCCCAGGGGCGTCCCCTGCTTCTCTGGCTCCATCCCTGGAGTTAGGTCGGGCGTAGCCTCCTACAGGTGGATTTTGGACGAAAAAATAAAAATAACAAAAAAATGTTCAAAGATAGTGCGCAAATCCTCAAAACGTCGTCCCCAGACTATTTGTTTAGTAGTTTTGAATGTGCCCCCTGTAGAGGGACAAGCCCGACTTCACCCTGGAGTTCCCGGGGCCCTCTGGAGCTCCACCCTGGGCCTTGTGCCGGGTGCTCCAGAGGCTGCGGCGGGAGCCGCCTCGGAAATCCCGGGGTTAGGTCTGGTATGTCCCCCTACAGGCGGATTTTGGCCGAGAAATGAAGAATACCTCCAAGAGATAGAAATAGTCAACAACAAAAAACGGAGAATAGTCCCCACACTGTTTTTTTTTGTTTTAACTATTTTTGGACATTCTCTGTGGAGGGACGCGCCCGACTTCATCCTGGGGGCATCTCCGGCACCACCCCCCGCCCACTGGCGCGGACCTGGCAGCGCGGACTGGCAGCGCGGACCTGGCAGCCGGGCCGCGAGCCCACGCCGATCGGCAGCGGCGGCGCGGACTGGCGTCGCCGGGCCCCGGCAGCCTTCGGGGAGGAAGTGGCGGGATGCGGGTGCCTCGTCCTCGTCCTCCTCCTCCTCCTCCTCCTCCTCGTCCTCGTCCTCGTCCTCGTCCTCGTCCTCGTCCTCGTCGTTCTCCTCCTCCTCCTCCTCCTCCTCCTCCTCCTCCTCCTCCTCCTCTTCCTCCTGAGCCTCCTCCTCCTCCTCCTCCTCCTCCTCCTCCTCCTCCTCCTCCTCCTCCTATGCCTTCGGCCCGCCTGGCGGCGGCGGCACGCCCCCCACCCCGCGCCGCCGTGCGGCCAAGGGAACGGCTCTGGCCTCCTTCGCCGCGCCGCCCGCCCGCGAGACTGGGCGCCCCCTCGGAGCCGAGGCGGCCGCGGGCGAGGGCGGCGGCGGCGGGGCCACGAGGAGGAGGAGGAGGAGGAGGGGCAGGATGGAAGGGGGAGGAGCGAGGAGGTGGAGGAGGATGAGGAGCGAGGAGGAGGGGAGGAGTGTGGAGGAGGAGGAGCGAGGAGCGAGGAGGAGGAGGGGAGGAGGAGGAGAGGAGGAGGCGAGAGGAGGAGGAGGGGAGGAGGAGGAGGAAGGGTAGGAGGGAGCGAGGAACGACAAGGTTCAAAAGAAGAGCGAGGAAGAGGCGAGGGGAGCGATAGAGGTGCGGGAGGAGCGAGGAGGAGGGGTTGTGGAGTGAGGAGGAGGGGGAGGAGGAGGAAAGAGGAGGAGGAGGGTGGAGGGAGGAGAGGAGGAGCGAGGAAGGAGGAGCGAGGAGGATGGTAGGAGGAGGAGGAGGAGGTAGGGAGGTAAGGAGGAGGAGGAGCGAGGAGGAGGAGGAGCGAGGATGAGCGAGGAGGAGGAGATGGAGACGGAGGAGGAGGAGGTGGAGATGGAGAAGAGAAAGCGTTCGCCGTCTGCGCTGGCGAAGAGCGAGGAGATGGAGATGGAGGAGGAGATGGAGATGGAGGAGAAAAAGCGTTCGCCGTCTGCGCTGGCGACGGCCCTCCGCGCCTGGAGGGGGGGCCGCGGCCCTCCTGCGCAGGTACCCCGCGCCCGCCCCCGCGCACGTGCCGTGCCCGACCCTTTCTCGCCGCCGCCGCCTCCTCCGACGCCGCCTTGCCCTGATACGAGGCGCCGTCCCGACCGCTTCCCTCCCCCCCCTCGCCTCGCATCCCCCTCCTCCCTCCCCCCCTCTCCCCCCCCTCTCCTCCTTCGAGCTTCCCGGCGCTCCCCCCCCTCCCCCCCTTGGCCCCTCCCCTCGCCCCGCGCCTCCCCCTGCAACCACTTCTCACGATCCTCGCCCATGCACCTATCCTCTTCCCTCTCCCCCTCCCTTCTCCTCCTCCTCCTCCTCCTCCTCCTCCTCCTCCTCCTCCTCCTCCTCTTCCTCCTGCTTTTTCTGTTCTTGTTGCTTCGGCGGCCCCCTGCGCGGCACGAGGGCGGGTCGGTCGACGCGGGGCGGCGCCCAAGGCGTGCGCGGCGGGCGCGCGCGGCCGACGCCCAGGGCATCGGGGGGTGCAAACCCAGGAAGGGGGGAGGGGGAAGGAGCCAGGAACCATAAGAACCGAGCGAAGCAGAGGCGGGAGAGGATAGCCAAGAGGAGCACGGGGGGGAACACGGGAAGGGGGCGGGGCGAGCGGGAGAGGAGGGGGCAGAGCAGGGACAGAAGGAAGAGAGAGGGGGGGCGAGGCGGAGGGAGACAGCCGAGGAGGGCTGGCCCGAACGGACGCGAACGACAGACACGACGCGCGACGCACCGACAACGAAACGACCAAGCCGACGAACGCCACCGCCGAAACGACGCGGGGGCGACGCGAACGACGCGGGGCCAGTGCGGCGGCCCAGGGGCGGCCCCGAGGGGCCGCCGATCACCCCCCGACCAAAGGGGGGCGACCCGGGCTGCGGGCAGGCCCCCCCGGGGCAACCGAGACCACGCGAAGGCCAGACGACGCCAGAGGACCAGGGGAAGCCGCCGGGGTCCGCACCCCCTCCCCCTCCTCCTCGCTCCCCCTTCTCCTCCTCCTCCTCCTCCTCCTCCTCCTCCTCCTCGCTCCTCCTCCTCCTCCTCCTCCTCCTCCTCCTCGCTCCTCGCTCCTCCTCCTCGTCCTCGTCCTCGTCCTCGTCCTCCTCCTCCTCCTC